TGGGGATACAGTGAGTGAAGATATAACTATAGAATTGAAAGGCCCCAGGCATGTATTAACACGTTTGTCCATCCTATTTGCTGGTAATCATCCAGATATTGTAAGTTGGACTATATCAATCAACCATGACCTCGTCCTGTGACCCGTCTTTTGTTTCGGAAACTTGAGCCGTGACCAGGGTCTCGCCTGAGGCAGAAACATGTACGCTGCAACCTGCAGTCTGTGAATGCAAAGCGACTGATGCAAGAGAATAATAAATAAAGTGCTTGGGAGAAACTAACTAGCGGTGAAAATCCAGGCTGTCAAATTACCGGCATAAATGGCATTTTCAAGGTGCTTCTGGTGACTATCACCTTGCGTTGCCCCTTTCTGGGATAAGGGAAAGTCAAAATACTCGATAGAATCCAGGCGTGCAACGAATGAAAACAAATCGAGGAACTTGCAGAAGGGTCCAGGGGCGGCGGGTATGATTACCGTCAGAATACCAGTGGCTCAGGTACTGGGAGGGTGCACGGATAGTGTAGAACCAGCAAACAATACCGCCCTGTGACAGTGTCCGATGGGTCGGAGGCTCCACTTCCCACCCGTAACCCCATCGTCATTTGCAAATCTCGCCAGCGAAAATTGCGCTTTTTTCACCCCAACCAAACCCTACACAGTATTGCTTTCACTTTACAGTACGCAAGCCTGAGCTCCGCTTCGATTCTTAGCCTCGTACCTTGTTTGGTGCCATTATTCATTACTATTCCCTTTGAGGCTGTTTTTTTCTCTTATTCGCGTCACAAAATTCCATTATTCATCTCACTCCAATCTGTCTTCTTCCCGTTATTCGACCTTCGGCGCTCTTCGTCTTCCCTTTCCGACCTTCTTTCCCAGCACCGACCCTTTTCCTCCTTTGCCAACCTTCAACCCTACAAAAGGTCCTGCTTCTTTAACGGTTAATCTGGTCGTTTGATTCCCTTTGGCTTAGGGGTCCCGACAGATCCCGTCGTCGAAGGGTTCCGTGCCCTCTGCTACTGTTCCTCCACGTGCGAAGGTACGTGACCGATTAGCCCCGGAGTCTCCGGAGTCTCTCGACAAGACTCTTCCCTTTTCTCTCCCCCCTTAGACCCCTCTTCTCTTCGCTTCTTGTCATCTGAGTGCCTGTCTTTGCCTGCGACCACAATCCTTCGGTCGCTAAGCTATTTTATTGTCGCTCTCCCCGCCTGTTGAAATGGTGACTGACATTCGACTCCGCCGTGTGTAGGTGACACCGAATCATTGTCATTCCCTTTTGCGCTGGAGTAAAGGAGGCCAGATCAAAGGAATTCGCTGCCTAGAAGCAAAAGTTCGCTGGTTACCTTTTAGGTAGTGCTTGCCGTACTTAATTGCTCAAGAGCCGCGGCGGAAGTTCCTTCATTTCCTCGGTGCTGCACAACTTTGCTCGTTCCTGTCTAGCTGTTTCCTTGCGATGCCTCGTCGCGCTGCTAGCTCTTTCGTCAACGACCCCTCCAACGCTCCCTCTTCTTCTCCTGCCTCCGCAAAGGGTGGTATCGCCATCAAGGCGTCCGCCGTTAAACCTAACCGCCTAAGTCAGCTATTTTCGACCTCTCCTAAGTCCAAGGCCGAATCTCAGACTGCGCAGGCCGCTGTCCAATCGGCCAGTGGAATCCTGAACTCTAGCACTGCCACCCCACCCATCAGTTCAGCCTCTCTGTCGCTGCCTACAATCTCTCTCTCCACTGCCACAGCGGATAATCCGAACATGGACGAACCACCGACCACTCTCTTTCAGCCGCCTTCGCCCGAAGAGGCTCGTCGCCTGGCTAAGCAACATGCTCAGTTCGGCCCCATCGGCCACCATAGCCACCGGTACACCAGTCAGCATCCCGGTGGTACATTTCCCGAGCCTGTGATGGACGAACCCCCGTATTATTACCTCCTCACCACCTATATCAGTTATCTTATCCTAATCGCTTTCGGTCATGTGCGAGACTTCTTTGGAAAGCGCTTCCGCGAAGAGAACTATCGGCATCTTAAGCCCCAGAATGGATATGGCGCCCTGAACAGTGACTTCGACAACTTCTACGTGCGCCGTCTCAAATTGCGAATCAACGACTGCTTCGAACGTCCCGTCACTGGGGTTCCTGGTCGCTATATCACGCTGATCGACCGGGCCACGGATGACCACAACAAGCACTTCTACTTCACTGGAACGACCACTGACACCTTGAACCTGAGTTCATACAACTACCTTGGATTTGCTCAATCCGAGGGTCCATGTGCGGACATTGCCGAGGATTCGATCCGCAAGTATGGTATCGTTTCCCCCAGTACTCGCGCTGAGGTTGGATCGCAGGATCTTCATGTGGAGGTAGAGGAATTGGTCGCCAAGTTCGTTGGCAAAGAGGCTTCTATGGTTTTCTCCATGGGATTTGGTACCAACGCGAACATCTTCCCCGCTCTCGTCAACAAGGGCTGTCTTATCATTTCCGACGAGCTCAATCATGCCTCGATTCGGTTTGGTGCACGTCTTTCTGGTGCTTCCATTGCTATGTTCAAGCACAATGACATGCGGGATCTGGAGTGTAAACTGCGCGAAGCTATCAGCCAAGGTCAACCCCGTACCCACCGGCCTTGGAAGAAGATCCTGGTTGTCGTTGAAGGGCTCTATTCCATGGAAGGTTCAATGTGCAACCTCCCTGGACTGGTCATGCTGAAGAGGCGCTACAAGTTCCACCTGTTCGTTGATGAGGCCCATTCCATTGGTGCCATTGGTCCTAAAGGTCGTGGTGTTTGTGACTACTTTGGAATTGACACCAGCGAAGTTGACATTCTCATGGGAACCCTCACAAAGTCCTTCGGTGCCAACGGTGGATATATCGCTGCGGACAAGGCGATGATTGATGTGCTTAGAGCGACCAACTCTGGTGTTTTCTATGGCGAGGCTCCTGCTCCGGCAGTTTTGGCGCAAATCATGTCGGCGTTGCGGATCATCAACGGCGAACTCATCCCCGGTCAGGGTGAAGAGCGACTGCAGCGTTTGGCCTTCAACTCACGGTATCTCCGCCTGGGCTTGAAGCGTCTTGGCTTTATAGTGTACGGCCACGATGATTCGCCGATCATCCCTGTTCTCCTTTTCAACCCTGCCAAAATGCCCGCCTTTTCCCACGAAATGCTAAAGCGGAAAATCTCGGTCGTCGTCGTGGGTTATCCTGCTACGCCGCTGGTTTCTTCTCGTGCCCGTTTTTGCGTCTCTGCTGCACACACCAAGGAGGATCTTGACCGCATCCTAACAGCTTGCGACGAAATCGGCAATGTCCTGCAGCTCAAGTTTTCGACAGGCATCGCGGGAGGTGCCCTGCCGGAGGATGCGATGCCCCCTCCGGAGAAGGAACAAGAGTTGCGTCGCAAACGCAACTCCAAGATCATTCCTCCTAGATGGCAGATTGAGGATGTGATCAGACGAGGCGTTCAAGATGTCAAGTCGCCACTTTACTAGTTGGCCGTTTACTGGTCTCTGATCAACCTGCCTTCTGCACCACCGAACCATGTCGATGCTTCTTGACGATGTGGTCGCATATATGTTCGGAAGGTGCCCACCACATGAACCAGATCGATCCGATACTGGTCACGCCGCGTCGCTGGTCGATTCGAGGCTATCCCATCCACTTCCCGTGTATCATTAGACAACCTTGCGGTTGTCATGCTTATGTTTGACTTTGGCTCCTACACGCACTACAGAATGGAAATTCAAAGAAGACCATGAATCCCCAAAGCACGGCGAATGCGCCGTAGCATCCCTTACCCAATTGCACATTGCTTATCACTTCTCTCAAGCCCACGAGTCATGTCATCTCGCTGTTTCAACTGAACAAACGACCATGACTCGCGTGCCAACTGTTTTCTTTTCCTTTCTTTCTCTTCTTCAATTCACATGCTTTCTATCCCACACACCCCCATTCTGTTCTTCCCCTCCCCCTTTGTCCCTTCTTTCATTATTAACCTATAGATATTACTGCTGATTCGGTCCCCCTCACCAAGTGCTGGAGGGCTGGGACCAGAGTGAGCCACTTGCGACTTATTGTTCAAATTAACATGGGGCCATGCAAACTGTACCTACATAATGAGATTGATGAGAAAGAAGAGAAGTCGAAAGAGAAGAGGAAGAAAAAAGGGGGTGGTAATGAAATGGACTGAACACACACACATCACACATCACACACCACAACTGGGCCCGGCGATTCGCGGTTGGGGCACCCACATTAGCGATTATAATTAGATGACTGTTAATATTCTTTTCATGAAAAATTTTGATATTTACCATTTGATCCTTGATGCATTTACTCATAATGTTTTCTCTTATAGTACTAATATCAGTAGTAGTTATATAAATGAATAGATATCATGTCAACTGCTCGATTCGATTATGGTCTATGCTGGTAGTGAACAAAGACAATTGATCTATCTATCGATGATGAAATCTAACGACAGTAGCAGTATGTATATGTATGCCAAAGCATGCTCTACTACATCTTCAATCCAGAGCAGAATAAAGCAAAAGCAGAATCCATACATGCCGTTGCTGTATGTATGCATCTAGTATGTATTGATGGATGAAAGAGAATGCCATGTATAAACCAGGTGAGAATCCAAAACCCGTCCCCGAAACAGAAAAAAAAATAACCAAAAGCGCCGCCCAAAGAGACCATCCTGTAAGCAAATGCTATGTATGCTCGGCTAAGAATCAAGTCTTCGTCTTGGTGAAGATCTGAAATGAAGAACTCCAGTTCAACCGCCGCAGGTGATCGCTAACGCCAAATAAACAGCCAGCAGACAGATGTGGAAGAAAAACAAGGTCTATTCCCGGTGTATGGGGAAAGGAAGCCATAACGTCGTAAAGATAAATCATGTTCGCCTGTTGGATGCAGGTGCCTGACCTGAGTGGTGTCGGGTACCGGTATGCAGAAACCAAAAAAATAGCGACAAGTAGGGTGTAGTAATACAGAATGAAATCATAATCAAACTGTACCGTATCTCTCCCGCTCATTCTGCAGGAGAGATTGGTTCTCTTCTGAAGAGACAGGAGCATCGGAGCGAAGTCGTCGCGCAGGGGACACTGAGGGGATCCAGCCTCTCATCCAGCCCCGAACGCGGGTCCAACGACTACGTCCGTCTTTGGGGTCTTCAACTTGCATGATAGACTCGTCATCCCGGGTTCCGTACATGAGGAACTGCACGCCCATGAGACCGTCAAAGGCTAGCACACCGAAGGCGCCTAGGAAGAAGGGAGTAGCGCGGGTGACCCATTCGAGGCGGTCGTTGCCATCTGCGTCGGCCCAGCCACCACCACCATAGGCAGGGAAGTCATACCAGGCGTTGGGATTGGTAAGGAGGGAGGCAGAGTAGAAGAGGTTTCCGCAGAAAGCAGCCATAAATAGTAATGGGGAAAGGCCCGATGTGCTCTTCCGGCAGTAGTTCTTGTACAGTTGGGGCGGCCGCGAGCCAAGGTAAAGGAATGTTGACATCCAGGAGATGATCCGGCCGAGGATCTCGAGAGTCTTCTGTGAGGATTCGGAAGTTGTTTGCGGCTCTGTCGGGGCAGCGTTGGCCACAACGGCGCAAAGCATTGATGCAAGCAGCAGAGTACGTGGTGACCCAATTGGAAGGCTGGGGCCACTACTGGATCGGGTAATCGAGCGCTTAGAAGAGCTCAACTTCTCATTGGAGTAAGATGGAGACTGCCCGTTGGAAGTTGGCACGGCAGGTTCCTTCATATCTTTCACATCCTTGGGGTTCGACGGCAAGGGAGACCCGGTAGAACGAGGGGCATGATCGGAAGAGCCGTTGTCAGAGAACGAGACGCCCTCCAAGACACTACCCGGGGGCTGATCATATTCTGAATGAGAGAGGGCGCCGTAGCCATCATACTGTCCCTTATAGTGTGTGTACCAGAAGTATTGGAAGACCAGAGTCACGTCAACGCAGACATAGTAAGCAGCCACAATGACCTGCCAGCCAGCCTGCCGGGTGAGCAGGGCACCCAGAAGATTGCTAGTATCACCCAGACACCATTCCACGAGAAAAAACAGCGACAAGCCAGCCGTCGACTGAATCTGATAATTCTTGTATATTTGTGGGAGCTGAGCGAAGAGCCAGGACACGATGCTGAGGGTTCCGAGAACGGAGGAGACGAAGGCTAACGGTGTGGGGAGGCAGATGTGGAGGTAGGAGGACACGGCCGCGAGGAAGGGAGTTGTCGGTTCACAGTGTTGCGGGAGCACTGCATGAATCTGTTGTAAGAGAGGAGGAGGCATGGCTATTGCTTGTGTCGGGAGTCTAATATCTGTGTGTGACCTGGAGAGACAGTAGAGGTATCTTGGTGGTTGGAAGTATAGGACGTGTCTCTGTAGCGGTATGAAGAAGGAACGCTAGATAAGGGCGATAAGACGAACAAAGCGAAGAAGCCCGACAATATAGTTGGTGATGGGCAATCCCGTCAGTAGCGAGAAGAAAGACGGGGGAAGAATATGAGAGAAGATGAAGAAGGAAGAAGAGAGAGAAAGAGAGAGAGAGAGAGAGGAAGGAGAGGGAGGTGAAGGCATGCGCGACAAGGGAAGGGAGTCAGTCAGTCAGTCAGTCAGTCACACTTGGCGGCCTCGAGATCGAGTCACGAGTTGATTTCTGGGGCTGAGGATGGAGGATGATCCCTATCGCCGCCTGCTGATTGGCTTTCCCCTAGAGGCAAAGGGGACTCGGAATGGAGCGGACTCCGTTCGGCAACAATTGGTGAATTTACACTAATTTGGAACTATCTTGACTAACTCCAATCAATAATCCTCATCTTCATTCCGGATCTGCTGGTCTATCCCGCATTGGCACCATTGCAGATAATGAGTGATGACTCTCTCTCAGCTCGCTCTTCTCCCCCTCTTTCCGGTAATCATACCCCTTTTCAAACCCCGGAATTATCCTCTGGTCTGCCTACTTCTGCGCTTCGGTCGGCTGTTCACATTCCCACTGCATTCATCGCCCAAACTCTCCGAGATTAAGTCAGACTGAGCGTGGGGTGACACGGACAATACTGAATGATTGCCGAACGGAAGAGACCATGATAGATTTTTTATTCCGAATCACAGTTTTGCCTTCATCCCATGGATGCGAAGACGCCTTTCCAAGGCAGAGCCCGAAACTTCCCAGACCCGCCCAAGACAATCCCCGGTCAAGATCACGGCTGCCCCGGAGTCCTGACCCACACTGTTTATTGAAGGTTAAATCCAGGCAAAAGCACAGACAGCACTGTCGATTGCAACCCTTAGCTTCTACTATGATAGGCTGCTCGTTCGGATTTCAAGCAATACGCACTTCACTGCCACCTCTGCTGAGACATACATAGCTCGGGTTGACGTATGGCCTATCTCGGCCTGCATCTTGTCTCGGAGATATCAGGGATGTTTTCGGCGAGGACCGCAAAGGGACACTGACGTAGCAGAGAGCAAGTGAAGCCTTATCTCACTGGACTGTCTCATTATTATTGCCAAGCAGGCAAACAGAGAAATAACGGTGAGAGATATGGATCTGGAGCATATCGGTCCTCCGTTCGTAGATCCGCTAGCATCTCCCTACCGGCTGATTAGACGCTTATCTCCACGATAACCCCCAGCCCACGCTATCTATAAAGATACTCATGATCATCTGACTTCCATCTATCTTCAGTCAGCCTGAAAATAATCTCCAAGTGCACACCATCACTCAATAAATTTCAAGGGCAAACATGCACGCGATCAACTACTCAAAATCTCCAAAAACCCGCCTCACCGCCTAATCACGATCTCACGATCGAGGCGCGTAAACCAGGATGTGGATGGCACTAAAACATGCAGGTACAAGGGTCCCCTTCGTCTTGGTGATAGGACCCTGAACTGTCGCCATAAGTTGACATCCGTCATGATGTCAATCATGAAGTCTGTAAATAATGATCAAATTAGCAGCCCAACCGTACTACTTCTTTACCATTCCAGTTCACACCCCTCTAACTATCCCCAAACCCAACCAACAGAGATGATTACCACTGCAAGACGTCAGAACTATAACACGCCTTTATATACCCTCATCATCACAGCCTACCATTAACCTAATAACAGCCAAAACAACCTGTAGATCGCACAATCCCGCCATCAAGTCACAACATCACAAGTAGCCAAAGTACCCCACACCCATCACATCACATCCACCAACACCTATCTACCCCCTCCACAATCCACATAGACCATCTAGAACCCATCTGCCCCTCTCATTCACCCTCAATCGCGTCCAACGCGTCACGAACCACCTTTCCCATTGGCCAGTACCCAGAAAGTGGATTTTGGTGATTCTTTCGACATCCAGGATGGTCTGAGGATATGATTGGCTTCTTGGATGGTTGAAGAGTTGTGGACATGTTTCTGGTGGGTGAGGGCCAGCTGGATTGGGGTAAGTGAGATGAGGGGAATGTAGAGATTAGATGATCTGATAGTATTGATTCATCTCTTGGATGGGATCAGTTGGGGTAAGGTTCTGTTGGTTGTGTAGGGTAGGATGGGATACTTATGGATGGGGTTACTTGTATCTTGGGGAATACTAACAAGTGCAAAATATATCAATTAAATAGCTGACGGTCTATATAGCTAGTAATCCATAGATAGTAAGTAAATGCATGAACTGATACAAAGAGGGTATCAGCATCCAATATCCAACATCAAACATCGCTCACTGCACAAGAACATATTCAATCATAACCCATAAATCATAACTCATATCTCATAATACCTCCCTACCACTCCTCCTCCTCCTCCTCATACCGACTCCGACTCCGACTCCGATGTCCATGACCATGACTATGACCATGATGATGGTGATGGTGATGGTGATGATGTCCATGACCATGTCCATGACTCGACGACCGCCGATAATGACTACTATGATATCTCGTATACTCCGTCTCGCGATCATCATCAACCTCCACTTCCTCCACCTCTTCATCACTATCACTCTTCTTCATCTTATTACTAACGAAGTTCCCCAGAATCGCACCCCCAACTGCACCCAGAAGTCCATGGTCTTTCTTATGTCCCAGATAATACCCCGTCGCGCCACCCAGGACAGCTCCGCCGAGGCTGCGCTCGCCTTCTTCTTCTTCACCGGCAGCAGCACCACCAGCGGTGGTAGGATCATTATCGTAGGCGCGGGACTGCTGTTCGGTCTCCGGGGCTGGAGGAGCAGGAGGAGGGGCTTGCATGTCTGCGGCGGACTGGGCACTATTTGTCCCCCGCTGTGTCAGTAACACATAACCATGTACATACACAGAACGAAGTATAGATATAGAATGCGGCAGAGGTATGGGAACAGACTAATACTCAGCATTACTCCCCCTCCGAACAGGCGGTTCGTAGCCCGGTGCCAGACGATCGGGATCATATTGCGGCACAGTAGCATTAGACTCATTGTTAACATTGTTGAGATTGGTGTTGCTGCTACTAGCAGCCTGTGGATTCCATTGTGTCGGATAAGACCGAGGAATCTGGCTCACGTCGTACTGAGAACTATAAGCGGGATCTTGATTCGGCAGTGCATGCTGGTTGTAGAACTGTTGCGGTTCGTAGTCGTATCCTGCGTGTTGGTAGACGCCGTCCGGGGGAAAGTAGTACGGTGTCTCGCTGTTTGGGACGGGAGGGGGGTATGGTTGTTGTTGGTGCTGGGGGTAGGGGTCGGTCATTTTTGGAAGTATGGAATAGAGTATTGTTGATCTGGTCTGGTTTGAGAATTAATCTATGGTAGGGAATGTTGGTATGTATGTATGCAGCTGCAGTTGTAATGGCTGTTATATTCGGATAGTATATGGATGTCTTGTGAAGATGATCAGCTGGGGCTTGCTGCGGGTCTGGGTGGTGAGGGACTGGCGGCTGACGGGGGTGGGTGCAGGTGACCGTGCCGCACGACTCAGCCTCGCGAACACATACGAACTGATGACTCGGACTTGGCGACAGGGTGGCCTGTTTTTACGCGGTCGGGCCGGCCTTGTTTGCTTTGGCTAGAATGGAGCGCTCCTACAGGGCTATTGTCTTCGTGTTATTCTTGATATTGCGTGATCTATCACGTAGGTTCACCAACAAAGCGGTGTGCTTGGATGAATGCAATAGTTGATTGATGAATAACGAACATGTAGATCTAACATCACTTCATGAAAAGTCGGGGAAAAGAGCACGAGGTAGTGGAGGCATGTAGTTAGGGGTATCCCAGCAACTGTAGAAGGTGGGCTTCAAGACAGAAAACATACAAGCAGGGAGAAAAGAGACGGCTCGCAACACTGAAAGACTGAAGCATACAAAGTAGAAAGTGAGAGCGAAATCAAGGTCAGTTATGACCGATCACCACCTGTCGGGCTGAATGGGTCGCGCTATGCAAGTGACAGCGCAGGTATGATCAAGTCCCCGAATGAGAGACGGATTGAAAGAGGGACCATAACATAGGCCAACTAAGTTCATGCGTCCAGCACATTGTTAGCCCCTGGCGAACGGAATGACCAGTCCTCTTGGGATTTGCGCGAATAACCGGAGTTGCAGATGTGACCAGTCTAGTGTACACCCAGTACCCGAGTCTAAAGACCTGCTTATTTGCTCGCCGCACTCCGCGTCCTCCGGCCTACCCACTCAGCGAGCATCGCATCCAGCTGGCTGGTCATCTCCCTTAGCCTCTTACTCTCTTCCTTGAAGAGACAACCAGTAATCGGGTGGTCAGGACCGGCAGGCGGAATGTTAGAGTTATCGTGCACAATGATAAATAGATCGCGGATGTCGTTCTCGTCATCCAAGTACGACCGCAAGCTAGCATCGCTCCAAGTCGGTGTTCCAGCAGACGCAGTCTCAAACGACGCAGGTACGGCGTCGATGCCTCTGTGATCGCTGTCACCAGCAATAGGAGATAAAGGCGGGGACACCGATGAGACCGAGTGTCTCCCAGGGGATGGCAGGCCTGCCACCAATCCTGGTGTAAGAGGTGAAACCGGCCCTTCCAGCGGAGAACCGTTGAGGGGCGAGTCTAGACGCTGGGGCTGGTAGTTCAACACCTGCTTCGGTGGGAATCTCTGTGGAGGAGACGCCACAGAACGTTGTTGAGAATAAGTGTTCTCAGACACATCCTCCTCCCAGGTTTTCTGTATATCAGTGGACGGGTATTCCTGGTGATCGAGTGGAGTCAAAGCTGGCTTCTTTGAAGGACTTGGCACACGGGCAGAAGACAACATAGCTTCCTGGCTGTCGTCAAAAGGCCCCAGGGGAGG